ATGCATAGAAAGGAAAAGGCCAAAGGGAGGAGAGCAAAAAAGTCACTTGGAAAGTGAAAATCCTGAACTGATGTAAAGCAGAGGAGGAAAGCATTTGCATTCAGGAGGGAAGAAAAGAGGGAGAGCGACTGGGTGTATGGGAATATTGAGCCACAAAGCATTTATGTCAGATCAAAGCTAATCCTTATCTTTGGGAGAAGGATTCAGTAATACCCTGGGCTGTCTTTCCCCCCCTCAAGGGCAGGTTTCTGTCTCCGTCTCTCTCTGCTCTTCTTGCTCACTTTTCCATGGAACTAGGGGAAATTTTCTGCACCTTTTCCCAGCTTTGACTCAGTGTGGAGAAACTGGGTCAGCTGGGGAGTGCAGAGTGAGGAGGAGGAGGAATTGAGGGTCTAGCCTCCAGACTCAGCTGGAGAGGGAGTTTTGCCTCAGGGGGTGCTGGTGCTGAAGGCAGGGGAGGGAGGCGGGGCGGCCGAGTGGAGGATGCTGACTACAGACACTAGAGATGCTCCACGACAGGACTCTCTTAAGATCTCATCATAACTTTCTGAAGGAAAGTGCAACATTGTACCAACATACTTGGACTTGCCTAATAAAGCTGCGATATTACTATTTAGTCAAATGATCATTAATACATCACCTTCTGGGTTTTAGCCTCTGAAATGCCCAGCCTGATGCTTTCACGAACTCTGCAATTAAAACATTACATGTAATATATATCACATGTTCATGTGTTAGAGTTATTGTTCTTTTTCCAGCTTGCTTTGTATCCCTTTTTCTTAGTTTTGCTTTGGTTTCACTTTCTCGCTTTACAGACCAATATGTGACCCCATGGTAACCTCCACATGCTAGGATATCAAATGCAATCCTTGACTGGTTGGTGAATGGTTGCTTGCTGCAATTAGGTGAAATCAGTAGTAAAGAGTGTGCAGCAAAAAACGTCACTAACAGATTGCTGCAGTCACCTGTTGTTTGCATGTAAAGCTTGCCGACTAGTTGCTGAGTGGTAGTGAAACTGAAAAAAGTGCAAAACATTCACCTTCAAAATATCTGCGCATGGAATTCACCATCTTCTATCAAATTGCTATACTGGCGAATGACTAAAAATTAAAGCTAAATAGAATCAGTATTCAGAAAAGAGGTTAACGGTCTTGCAAATCAGGGAAGGGTTTTGTTGCTTCTTTATTCTGGAAAGCGTTCGTTTAGGTGGCTCAGCCCTCTGATCAGGATTCCTCTTGCATGCGTCCCTAAGGAGGTGTTCTGGTTAGGGCAATTTGGAGGAAACCCCAGGGCGAACCTTGAATACACTGGAGGGATTAGGCTTCCCATCTGGCTATGCAGGATCCCCCAGGAAGAGCTGCAGGATGTGATTATGCATGAGGGTGCTTAGGCTACGCTTTTCTTACAGCATATATTGATGACTCAGTCAGTGAAATTATTTCAAACAGACCAGCCTGTCCTTTTTTTTGTTGTGGTTGTTTAATGCCACTCAAGGTCGAATGTGATCATCTGTTTTCACTCAAGTGAACCAAACTAAAAGAAGACTGAATATAGCGCTCCAAGCATGCTTAGTGTGAACTCATTCTTATCTGTCACTGCTACATCAATGTCCCCACAGGGCCAGAGGATGAGTTTAATTGCCTAAGATCTTGTTTTTGATAACAGTGTAAGATGCGCAGTGTTGCAGGGCAATCAGTGGTCACCTTTTTCCCCATTTCTGTCAACACTTTATTTTGCCGACCCCCACCCACCCACCCTTTTCGTCCTCGACGTTGGCCCACAGTCATGCCCGGACGGACGCCGACGGCGCCGAGATGGCAGCGTAGAGAAAGATAGATGTACCCTTCCCTCCTCAGCAATTTTCACACTTGACAATTTCAGCGAGAAAATAAAATATAAAGTCGGCAGGGCCCTGTTTGGTATTCATTGTTTCCTTGGTGCTATTTTGACAGGGTTTAATCATCTGCAAAAGCAAACTATCACAGCTTCCGCATGGATTAACACAGTAGAGACGTGATTATGCAGGAGGAGGAGGAAGAAACTGTTTATGGAGTTTGTGGCCTGAAGGAGAAAAGAATTAGCCGTGGTTAACAAAGATACCGACGACGAGTCTTGTGAACTCGCCTCTTCTGCAGTCCACTGCCGGCTGATGTGTAGAGTGTCTGTTGCATATCACGACTCCTCATCCTTCATGATGCATTGTTGTATTTTGACCACTATGCTTGTACCTTCCCTTCTTCTAGGCCTCTTATCTGTGCATAAGTCACATCCGTTCCTCTTGCTGACTCATGTTGCATTTAGTGATTTGACATGACTCTTACAGCATCTTTGCAAGTTCTGAAAGCTCCTCTAATACAAAGCAGCAGACGCACAGTTTGAAGGTCCAATAAGAGCAGCAAACGATGGCATTTGGTTAATTCTCCCTGTGATTTTGTTTTTGCTGCAGTAGCAAGCAGATTGCACAAAACCAATTTGTTTTGTCAACATGAATGCAAAATCCAGAACAGGAGGTACTCATTAGCTGAACCACAATGCATGCATGGTTTACAGACAATTATGAGATAGGAGGTTGTTAATTTTTAACGGCACGTGGCGCTGTCAAACCTCCTCAAAATTAGATCCAGCAGATTAATACTTTTAAATAGATTAAACAGACATTGAACATTTAGGAAGAAGTTGGATGTTGCTTCGATATCTGAAATCATCGGCGCCAATCATATTTAAACATATTTTTAATTAATGGGACAGGAAGTTGTAAACAAGAAAAGTGAAAAGTCCAGTACAGTTCTGCAATACTTTGACCGAGAAACTGAAGAGTAAGCTGATATATAACCACTTATTGGAGCAACGCATAATCACATTCAGCACAGGCATGTGGACGTTAAACCACCATGAAAGATGGCTCTTATCATTAGCAACACTAATCACATATAAAAGCAATATTTTAACTTCATCCGTGAGATTATAATAAGTTTTGAGTGTCAAAAAGTCTGATTTTTGCAAAACTGCGATTTCAAACCTATAGTCCCTATGAAGGTCACATAAAACCATTCAATACAGGTGCACAACAAAGCACTCATTATAAAATACATATTACTGTATTTAATACACATTAAATCAATACATTTTAAATGCTAACATTTAGGTCATAACATGACATGATATAACTGTTTAGAAAAAAGGCCTCTTGCCTTTGCTGTTATTATATCAGGGAAAGGTTCTTGTTTTCCCTGGTAACCAGTAGTTGTTAGGGAAAAAAGTCATTCTGGACATTGCTGGGGGAAATTTGCAAGGAAAGTATTGCATCAAAAACCTCAGTGTTTGCTGTGGCTAATTGCCATGGTCGTTTGCAGTCTTTCATGTTTCTCTGAAAATACTAATTAAGCAAATACAATTTTTAAGTGTGTGTTTCACTAGTGCTTAGAGTAGCTGAATAGTGTTTGTAGCCAAAAACGTGACTCAATCTTCGTCTGCAGCCACACGCTAGAAATCAAAGCAATCAGAACGAGGTTTTCTTTTAATAATAATAATAATAATAGATACTTTATTGATCCCCATGGGGAAATTACTTGTTTTTTCTCTGCATTTGACCCATTCACTCAGTGAAGCAGTGGGCAGCCCACTAAGCAGGCGCCCGGGGAGCAGTGTGTAGGGACGGTACCTTGCTCAGGGGTACCTCAGGGTAGCCGTTAAGTGGATTCGAACCGCCGACCTTCCGATCATGGGGCGACCACTTTACCTACTGAGCTATCCCTGCCTCTTTTGCCAGCCAGTTGGGAAATACATATTTTTCCTTGGTGACAGGCTGCATGGATATGGTTGTGTCTAGTCTCCAGTTCTTGGGCCTTATTCACTTGTTCTACATTATCACGTCACACATCCCAAATTACAGACAAATCGTGTGGTTAGTGGTCACATGTCTGCAAATCCTCAATATGGTGCTACATTGGAAACCTCATCGCAGTTGCATTGGTCTCTATCAGATTGCCAGTCACTGACCAGTCAGTCACTGACCAGTCTGTAGGCCTGTGTGACTCTGGGACTGGTCTCTAATTTTGATGTTTAACAGGATCTGTTTTTCTAGTGTTGCACTTTGCAGACAGTCTCTGAACAAAATTTTTTTGCCACTTTTGCAACAACTTAACTTTTATAAATACTGGTCTCATGTGTTTATGCTCTCAGTTATTAGTTTTAAAGTAGATGATAAAGCACTACATGCTTGACTGACAAGTTTCTAGAATATGAGTCTGCTGCACTCTCGCAGTCAGATCCACTCCTAACTTGTCATTAAAAAAAACACTTGATGTCGAACTCCAAAATGCCAAACCTTCAAACCAATAGACACCATCAAGGTGACATGTCCATTTTTATATACAGCCTATGTTACCATCACTGGTAACCACTTTCTAACTTCTGTACAGGTAAAAAATAGCCAGCCTGCACACTCATATTTTACAACAATGAATTGATGTTTTATAAAAAAAAGATGGTCAAGCTGTAGAGGTGTCTGATGGAAATTTAACCTACTTCCTGTGCTGATTAAAGCTTGGGAACAAGTGAGTCAGTTGACCTTTTAGTTGCTGTTTCAAAAGGTCAAACACACACCGCTCAGCTCAGCAGCACGGTTTCTAAAAGCCGCATTAACTGCAGGCAAAAGCACCGGTGCAGTCATGAAAGATTGGGTTTGGGCACAAAAAACAAGACTTTTCTGCATCAGAGAAATGGTAAATATTGGAGCCGATGTTTGAGTATTCAATGATGAGCAAGCTACCGAGAGATGAGTTTTTGGTGAAAAGACTTTAAGCAAACAGCAGCTGCACTGTGTCCTTTTTCTCTCCAGAGTCAGAAGTGTTGTAGTTCCTGCTGATGCTGCAGACTCTTGATATCAAATGATGAAGATCAAAAAGAAGAGATCCTCAGTAGATAGTTCTGCAATGTGCGTACAAAACCTTGAATTCTTATTGATGTTGTTTTTTTTCCTTTTTTTCTTTCTGTTGCAGATGAAGGGCCATGTTGCCCCCAAAGGGCCGTAATATCACTGTGAAGTCGTGAACGAAACCAGCTCTGCTTCCCCCCCTGCATTTCTTCTAGAGCCAATTAAATTGTGTTTTCCCTCTTGTGAAAATACCTTTTTTCCTGGAAATGGAGACTCTTTCCCAGGATTCGATGCTCGAGTGTCAGATCTGCTTTAACTACTACAGCCCCCGACGGCGACCCAAACTCCTGGATTGCCGACACACATGCTGTTCGGTGTGTTTGACCCAAATGCGTAGCAGCCAGAAAGAGATCCGCTGCCCATGGTGTCGTGGCGTCACCAAGCTCCCCCCGGGCCTGTCCGTGTCTCACCTCCCGGATGACCCAGACATCATCACCGTCATCGCCATCCCTCACACCTCTGAGCACACGCCTGTCTTTATTCGCCTCCCCAGCAATGGCTGCTACATGCTTCCCATCGCTAAAGACCGGGCACTGGGCCTGCCAGGGGAGCTGGGATGTCGCTTCTTGCCCGGCAGCCAGCAGAAGGGGGTGACAGTGGTGACTGTGCCCGAGGAGCAGCCACTGGGTCTGGCTATGGGTCTAGACGGTGTAGGTTTGGAGGGAAGTGAGGGAGAGAGGAGGGTTACTGGTCCAGTGGGAGGAGCAGGAAAGGGCTCCACATGGTCTGGAGTGTGCACAGTGATCCTGGTGGCGTGTGTGCTGCTCTTCCTCCTGGGCATCGTGCTGCACAACATGTCCTGCATCTCCAAACGCTTCACTGTTATTTCCTGCGGCTGAGGGAGGCCGCTGCGGACCCCCTCAGGATTCCCTCCCACCAGCCCTGCCTCTCCTCAGGGTGGGACTCTGTTAAGGAGAGGGAACTAAACTCACATCGAGGGCATTAAAGGAAACTACAGTGCAGTGTAGAGAGACAGTGATGATGATGATAAAGAAGAAGAGGGCAGGAAGGAGAGCCACAAACTGGTCTAATGTTGTGGAGTTTTTTTTAATCCTTGAAATGGAAATATGCATTTAAATCTTCACTCTCCTCTCATTGGACAGCACTCTGCTGGCGTTGAAACACCCACCTTTCTCCATTCCTTCCATTTTTCCTGAAAGAACGCTTTGGGAATCCCTCCAGATACGTTTCTGGCCCGCCGATTTGTTTTTGGCTGGAAGCTGTGCTGACACTCACACTCGCTGTGGTTGGATTGCCCGTTTAGTCTGTGGTTTGTAGAAATGCATCATCATAGAGTTGTTTAGATGAATGCCCGCTCCGAGTGCGATGTCTCCAGCTGGTGCTGCAGTACAGGGAGTCCGGACTTGGCCGCTCACCGTTCCCTGATGTTGCAGGAATTAACTGTGCAGGATTTTCTTCTGCCTCCTCCAGCCTGAATATTCTGAGGAGCTAAAATCAATTTTCTTTTTTCTTCTTTTTTTGTCAAAAACACAACCTGTGCAGAACAAACTGTTGCTGTGATGATAGTTCCACATAGTTAGTAAAGGCTGCGTTGTCAAAAATATGGATTGTAATGTTCATACATACCAGCTGAAATACAAACACAGGTAGTACAGAGTCGTGTTATTAGGGCTTTAAGAAATAAACAATGTTAAATGAATTGATTGTCATTGGTTCCAGCCTCTCATATATCAGGTTTTTCTGTCTTATATAACTGTACGATAAATACTCTTGTACTTTGGCCTGTTGTTTGCACACAAAAACAATCTAAAGCTGTCACTTAGGATTGCCAATTAACTCATAATTGACAGAGAATTGGTATAAGCAATTTAATGAAGAAATTAAGACCTTGAATTGGTATTAATTTAAATGAAAATGATGAGCATTTGGAGGAATAATTTAGCTTCGCTTCAGGCAATTGGATGAGAAGTTCAGCATCACCTTCTTATCTGTCTTGAAGCTATAGAGAAGGGATATCTTTGCAAGAAAAACACGTTGCACTAGCTTTAGAGCATCAGAACTTCACTTTGAAGTTAGCTAGGCTAACGCTTTCCTCTTGTGTCCGTGTAACTAGCTAGCAGGTTAGCTTTCAAAATGAAGCTCTAAAAAAATAAAACATTTGAACATCAAGATGTGGCAATATAGAGCTTACCTGTGAGGGTATATTTGTTAACTTTAAAGTTAACTTAATTTTAATAGTTAATGAATATTCAAAATTTTAATTTTTTCCCTCAAATTAGCTGATTGGCTAGCTTTCTACATCTCTGCCTGTTTAAAAAATAAAAATAAATCACAGCTTGATATTTTCTATTCATATTTTTTCTTCTTTTTTCATTTGTTCTTCTTTAAAAAAATAATCAGAAAACATTTTTCTGTAATTCGAGAACTTTGGATATATTAAAAAAGAAATCACATTTTTTAACTTTAAAGCAACCAAGGCTAGCTGGTTTCCCCATTTGAGCTGAGCTCCAGCTGAGAAATGACAGATACAGTGATGCTGATCCTCATCAAATTCTCTGCAAGGAAGCCAACAAGCTCATAAAAATTTGAGTTTTCAAAATTGCAGCATTCTTCTGTTTTATTATTTTCAGTTTTTATGTTTTTGATGTTTATTCATGTGATTGAATTTGTTCATTTGCTTTTTCATCCTGACCCGCCTCATACTGACTTCATCCTCTAAAGCCAGATCCTCCAGGCCTTCGCCAGCAGCCCACATGCCATCTTCCTCCACCTTCTCATCTTCCCCTTAATTCTGAAACTGCTTTGTATATGGGCTGAACTGTAAAACAACGAGTTTATGTAGTATGTGAGTAACAAGTCAAGAGTGGGAGGCCGCTGTAAGGTTACTGTTAATGAGGGCTGTATTGATTTATCTGCTTTTGAATATTTCACTGCAGAGGTGGATATTTCTGGACTCATTTTATTCCCACTTTTGTATGTTGAGGCAAGCATTTTGTCTGCTTACTGTAAATCAGTAGATGTACAGTACACATAAACAGGGTAAACGCTTTTGTACAGCAGTCTCATCATGTACAGAATGATTGTAATTGTCATTTTTGATCATTTCCTTTTTCTTTGACATATTTTAGCCTTTTTTGTGTGTTTGAGCTTAAATAAACATGAGTTATTCAGGGCGCGCAGATTTGTTTCACCACACCAATGATAAACATGAGAAAAATAATGTTTAATATAATACTCTAGGTTTATTTCAGACACCTAAACTATAAAATGACTTTTACCCTGAAAAACAAACTAGAAGAAATATTATTTGATTTATACTCAATATTTATTGGGTTGGATTCATATCAGCATGATTTTATCGACTGCCGCCAAAGTAAGAATTCCAAACTGTTCAAAGTAAATAAATTTAGAGATTAAATCAAACGTGCTTCAGATATTTTGCCTTTCAGCTCTGCGACACTCTCCTGAAAAGGCGTTCAGGGTGCAGAGGGGGCAGCTGTTTTGTTCTGCAGATGCAGGGATAGATGGAGTTAAGTTCAGCTGAAATGGTTTGTGTCGTGCTGGTTGCTACGAAACAGCGCTGAAGGTCCTTTTGAAGTTGCTCAAAGTTGAAATATTTCCAGCTCCTAGCACTCTGTGTTCTATATGCTCTAAAGAACTTTCTAATTTCTCAACACTTGGGGTTTAAGTGGTGTTTTGGGGAGATAGCTTTCTCCAAGATTAAAAAAAGTTGGATTTTATTTATGCCTGTTAGTTGGAGATAATTGCTTAATAAACATTAATAAATTGTTATTCATTTCTTAAAATGTCATCATTGCCTTTAAATCATCAAAAAGATCCTCTAATGGACCTTGCAACCCAAAGCTCTTATTACTGTTAACATTTAAAAACACCCATATCTCGATGCCTAATGTAGAATCACAGCATTTCTACTGGGAACTTGAGTCAAAATGTCAGTTTAAAGCATTACAAGTATGTCATGCACAGTTTTATTACCATAATGTGGCATGACTGCTACTTTTAATCCACAAGAGCAATGCTGAAGGGGACAAGTGAAGGATGTGCTCTTAAAGACCAGCTTAACCCATATGGGTTTATTCAGCCATGCTTCATAAGGTCAAATATATCTGCTAAAGTTTTTTTTGTATCTATGTCGCAGATATCTGTGGAATCTTTGGGCTTAAAAGAGACAAAAACAAAAAAATATCCAACTCTGCCAACCTGTTGTCAAGTACTACACACTTAGTCCACACTTAGAATAGTGTTAGTTAGATAGTATTTTTGTAGCTGAAAGTTTTTGCCAAACAACTTATCTTTGGCTGATGTTCCCACACAGCACAGCCATCCATTTAAATGGCAGGTTTAATACCAATATCCACCCTAAGCCCTACAAGGACTGACCTCTCACAGTGTTCACCTGTCTGAGGAGTCCTTGAAAACTAAGGTTATTTTTAATTTCTTTAGAGCCAAGAACTTAAAGGACCAACTCTCTCACTGGAACATCTTATAGGCTTTTGTCTTAAAGAGTGAACAAAGGGAAAACATGGTTGCTTCTCCCATACTTGCTGTTTTTCAGTAACCTTATAGTTAACGTCATTGCACTTTGAACTGTGGGTAAATTTAAGCAAGACATATGTGCATTTTTTTCTGGTGCAGTTGGTGTAGGAACAACAACCAGTCTTCACAAGGCAAGCTAACAGAGGACTGTTACCAACTTTTATGATGAACTTTACATCAAAGTGCACAAAATGCCATGTTGCTCTTTCAGCGATGTTGTTTGGTTGACACTGTTGATGCCAGGGATGTGTGTAATGCCCCTCAATATCCATGAATCTGTGATGTGGACATTTGCATTGAGCTGTAATTATGAGTTGGATAGGGTTGAAGAAGGTCATCAACCCAGCAGCAGGCCCAGTTTTGTGCATCGGGGCATTTTTGTTTACTCCAGGAAGTTTACTCAAGCGCACGTTTCTAACTAAACAGTCTGAAACAGACTCTATGAGGGAGCTGTGCTCAGACCCTAGCACCGTTCACCTCAATCGTCATTCAGCTCGTTCACACTGAGCACATGTGACAAACGTGAAAGAGTCTGGAGATACCATGGTATTCATCAATCTGAATAAATATCAAACATCGATGATGGCATACTAAGACCTGTAGTATGGTCCAGAACCAGTAGTAGGCTTATGAATAAGATCCAGCACCAGTCCATTGAGTGTTTGGTGACCATTAGCTTTTGATTTGCTACAAACCTCATAGCTCTAAATGTGATGTCTGTATGTAATAGTTTCAGTATCCAGACTAAGAACATTAGTTTTAATCATACATTTTTAGTGATAAACTGGAAGAATATAAATTTAAAACGCCAAATAAAACCAATATAAACTGTGAAAATGTGAATTTGTGGCGTGGCCAAGATCTATGTTACGGTTTAGTGAGCAATGGGCCACCATGAACAAGACTTCAAAAGCAGAAAAACAGGTTAATGAAAAACAAGCCCATCTTTTTCTTTTATCCATCCATCATTTCATGTGATGTAAGCTAAAGACAGCGGGTGAAATCCACCTGGAAGAAAGTCTTGTTCCTCCCATTATACTACCATTTCATCTCTTTCAGTCCCTCCACTGACTGAAAGAGAAACCAAATCACATCGCTGAATCTCCTTCTTATTCTCTGTGTTAATTGTTTTATTTCTGTTCCAATCAAAATGTGCCCTGTACTTCCTGTTTTCTTTCTTTCTTTTAAAAAAAAACAACAAACAAAAAACAAAGCAAAAACAGAAACTTAAGGACAGAAGTGTAGAGGGAGGCTTGTCATTTCTGTGCCTGTGTGTTTGTACAATGCCGTGAAGTTCCTGTTGTAGTTTCCTGTGTGTGTCAGCTCTGATGATGGCTGACAAAGCAAGCAGCAGCTGTTTTTAGTGAAATATTAAAGCAAACACTGAATCTAAGCAAGGACTCTGTCTTTAATTAAACCTCAATTGCACCTATTTTCTGGTGATATATCAACTTTTTTTATTAAAAGAAATTGAGCCATGTAAAAGATTTAAAACAAAAGCATATTCCCTGTTGCTTTATGTATTGAAATCCCATATGTCATGGTTGAGTAAACTCAGTGGAGAGCAGACTCCCTTTTGTTTACCCTCAGGAACCTCTTTTCTTTTTTTATTTATTGATATAGTGGCACCGTGGTAATTAAGGCTCCCCAGGGGCCAACTGCATCCAGCCTTGCTGCAGTAAAACACCTCTGTTTCTTACAGGCAGCAGCTGCTGCTAATGATGGCCACAGTTACAGAGACTTTTGTAGAGTTTAAATGGTTCTAACAGGTTACACAAGCCCATGAAATTAAACAGTCCTTGGGGCTTAATTCTTGACCACTAGAGTAAATACTAATAGCATTTCATAAAGCTAGGACTGTCTCCACAGCAGCTTTACACAGGTTTTTGGGGATTGCTGCTAAAGTCATATTCTAGAAACCTGGCTGACCTCGACTTCTTGTACAGGGGTATTTGTGCCTCACTTTGAGTGTCACAGGTTAGATCCCAATCATTATGCATGACAACATGACCCAGGAGAGCAGTAGAAGCCAACCGCATGGATCTGACATCATTCGGACATGAATCCTAATAGAAAGAGAAGTGAGCCAGCCGGAGAGGAAGAGCTGTCTAACCCACAGGAACTAAGAGGCAGGCTAGAGGAGGTGCATGTGTTGTGGAAAAATAGGGCAACTACACTTGGTGGTTGGCAGCTGTTGGCCTGAAAGTGGAGCTTGAACTTCATTCATAACTTTGGTTACAGTCAAAAGTTCCAAAACACATAATAAAAATAGACAAAGCAGGAGGATGACCTGGAAGAAGACTTTACAGCTGAAAAACATCAGCCAAAATTTATTAAATCTGTCCAAGAAAGCAAAGGACACTTGTGTGCAAGTGCCACGTCATTCACATATTATTACCACCCTAATGTCTTTTGGTAAAATGAATATTATGCTACATTCAGTAAGATTTAAATTCACGTACATTTATCACGAAATTGTTTATTGAGGTCATAGGTCAAAGGAGATTATTTTCCCACTGGTTCCTGTATAATCAGACTTCGTTTTGGAACATGCCACTGGAACTACTGGCCATTAGAAAAAATGCAGGATAAAGGGACTTTCTTAATGGTTTCAGTTTTCATGCCTGTTTGCTATATTTATCTTGTACATGTGGTCTAGAAGAGCAACACAAACAGCGCTGTGAGAATTTAAGGAGTTAAAAAAAATCATAATGAAGCCAGAAATGAAAACAAGCATAGAAGCATTTCAGTCAAAACAGTGTCTAGACTAAAATTAGTCATGTGCAATCAAAACTGAGCTGTAACCTGTAGATTTAAATGGTTCTGTT